GGAAGGATGGTAACAGCACTTGACAATTAAAAGGTAGGGTAAAAGCAGTAAAAATAATTTGCGAGCTAGGTAGGATCTCTTCACAGGTTAGATCTGGGCCATGAGCTGGACAAACATACAATCTGTCTATATATATTTTTTCGTTTTTCCCCTAAAAGGTGGAGGGGAGGGAGGGGGAGTGCAGAAAGACGCATGGAAACAGCATTTCAGCAGGGAAATCAAAGACTAGCCAGCTGGTAATGCCTTCTGAGAACAGCTGCATTAAAACAAAACAACAAAACCCAGCTTACACTGTGTGCCGTTTGCTGCAGGATCAGAATGATACACAATAACCAGAGCTAGTACTAATCAGCTTGTTTATTAGCTGCCCTATCATCCTGACCACAATTCTATACCGGGAAGAAATACACAGCACATTGCACAGTTGTTCTATTTTAGATGGTTCTAAAACAAGCAGCTTTGTGGCTCTCTTCTATTCGAAAATATGCCTTTTAAAGGTCTAAAGAACAGCAGGAGGAAAAAAAAAGACCACATGAAGTTAAATATATAGTTTTCTCTATTTAGCTTCTTTATCCTGTGTCACCCATCAGACAGCAGAAATAACATGCTATTTTTCACACTGCACACACCACTTACAACATATTCTCCTCATCTTCCTAACATTTTCTGAGAAGTACCATACAAATGCTGCTCTAAGGAGCCAAAGTCTAACTCACTCCAGCCTTTTTACCTGTTGGACCACAGGCACTTCCACAATTTTTTGATAGCCATGACTCTTAAGAGAAGGCACATATAAAATACTGTGGGCTTTTGCTAGTCTCTCTTATTACGATATAGCATACAGAGAAATCAACAGGGAGAGGAGCAGAGGGGGCAAAGAAAAGCACACAAAACTTAGGGATGAACTCTTACGGATACAACGGAAATCTTGCATTTTTGTAACTGACATTCTGTATGAAGTAATTAAATGCTAGCACAAGTATAAAAATATAAAATTCAAGGAATTCCAAGAGGTTCTATGTAACTGGGTTTTACTCTCATTACTCCTCATTATTTGAGCACAAGTATAGTAACTTGTGTCCATCAGAACAGAACTTGAGCCAGTCTTACTCAGGAAGACGATGCTTGTAATTCATGGGACAGTGCAGTGGGTGGTAAGAGTAGTCCAAGCACAGCTACTTGGAGGGACCCGACACAAATTGGAGCTTTGCTTCCTCTTAACTAAAACATTTTCTTTAAATTATTCTAAAACCGTAAGGTGCAACTTGATTGTTGTTTCTACTATTCATCAAGATTTATTTTTGATTTTAATTTTCCTGGACTACCTGGAGGTTGTAGACATGACTTGGAATGAGACCAAACCATCATTTTCAAATTCTGGTGTTTGCAATATATTAAGTATATTTCAAGAAGTGATAAGTTATTTTCACCTTTTGTATTTATAATCTCTAACTAGGGATATTTACGTATGAAGCTGGAAACTGTTTAATAGCTGATTATTTTTAGTCACATTATTAGACTATAATTCCAGTATTCACTCTAATGAAATATATTTGCAAGAAGTTTCTAAATTGTTACAGAGCACGTGAAATCTGGGCTTCTTTCAGGTAAATATGAAAAAACTCTTTAGCACTTTCCCAACAGTGATTGAAATTTATTTCACAATGATAGAAACTGAAAGATTTCACATTTTCCCCTTCAGAAATAACTTCAGCAAAAGTTCAGATTTCTTACCATAAACAAAATGAGAAAATTAAGTAAATTACAGCTTAAAGGTGTAATTAAGTATAAATTGCAAGTACTTTATAACACAAAGAGAAAGTTTTCAGTATTTCTTTATAAAATTCATGTGACCCAGGCCTTTTAAATATGGCTTCATTAACATCTTATGCAGTATGTTCTTGATCAAAGCCATTAACATGCCAAATAGCACCTCTACATAAAAGATAAAAGACATCCCAAAATTTGATTAAGTGCCATATACTCTATTAGAGAGAACATGTTTTAATTAGCATTTCTAATACCAGTTACAGTGTATAGTGCTTAGTAGAAATCTACTGCATTGTAATTATACAAGGTAAGAGGCAAAGACCAAACCGTACAGCCCTCACTAGAGACCCCAAAAGTTTTACCTCATGAACACCTAGAGGATTTAGCCAACAACACATAATAATTCATTTTGTATTTTTTAATAGATAGGCAGAATTCCAACAAGAACTCAGACTTCTGGCTACACAAAATTACAGTTAAATTTAGGAATCAATTTGAATTTAAAATGTAGTATTAGGGAGTAGTATATCCATTGAAACAAAGGGGTCTACAAACAAAATATGTTTTCACGTTAATGTTTTCACAGACTTGATAGGTATTATCTCTCTTTTGGGAAAGTTTTAATATTACAAATATAGTGTTCATTATTGGGCAGTTTCAAATTTTAGGTTACAAGGACAGAACTGACATAGTCCATCTCCTCTCTCTCCCTACCCCCCCCCGCTTTTTTTCTACTAAGAGGCCTAACTATCAGCCTAAAATACATACCAGTTATGACAAAAATCCCAGCATCAAATCACATCAGGAATTGAAGTTTGACAACAGAGTCACACACTCAGGTTACCAAGTAGCTGGGACATTACAAAATGCAGGAGCTCAATGCAGGTACTATGGGAGAAGACACTGCAGGCTTCAAACTGATCTTTGAAACTTCTTCTAGCATCGGGGTTCTTTAACAACCCCAATTACAATATACTCATCTTCCTCTGCAAAAATAAAAATTGAGAGGAAGATTTCCTCCTGGAACACACAAGTTCAGAAAGAGTCGAGCCATGTACTTACATTTACATTGACAACACAGCTCTTTAGATAAAACAAGCAGCAACACAACAGTATAAAGAAATGTATGTTATGCTGGAGTTAGCATACAAAGCATTCACTTCTAGAAGAACGTTTGAAAAGATCACAGAGACAACAGCTGAAGGTGACTTGAATAAAAATGTGTAAGTTCTAGAATGTGTAAAAATTTTTAAGTTCTAGAAAGTGGCCATAAGCGCTGAACAGAATGCAAACAGAAAGTGTTACTAAGCTAACAAGGAATAAAGCTAGAGCTGATCTCATTTTAACATCCTGGAAAAAGTTTTTAAATTAACGCCAACAGAAGAAAGAACGTGTTTGCGAAATGAACAGATACTGAATTAAAATTTGGAAAGAAATACCAAACAATTTCTAAAGACCAGAAAACGGGAAAAGAAAATAAGTCAGCAGCATGTGCAGAACTTTGGATAAATGTCAATATTCCAGGAATTATGTAGACAAAAGAGGAATGGAGATCAAACTAAAAACTAGGTGAAACAACATGGAGCTTGCTTACCAAGTTTGCAAGTCAGCAGGACAACAAGATTGGCTAATGAAATTTGGGAATGACTAAAGCCAAAAGATGCTGTTTTCTCAACATAACTTTGGCACAACTACAATGAGAATACTGTGGTTTCCTTTCTTAAATAAATTACTGAAAGGCAAATTGGCAAACATAGAAAGAAGTGTAACTGCAGGAAAGCTAATAGATATACTGCTTCCTCATCTTGAGGGAAACAATCTCTGAAAGTGTTTCAGTACCCTTTGGGAACAACTCCTTTTCAATTTTGTGTATTAAGAGATATTTTAGAATCCAGAGAAACACATTAGCAAAGAAAAGCAGCTTCCTGAAGATGAAGTGTAATACAGTCAAAGAGGAGCAAGGAAAACTGAGTACTCAAACAAATCAGTAATTCAAATTTCTGGTAGCAGCTATATTAAAGAAGGTTAACACATAATGCAATCAATGCATAATCCTGATTTACCTATTTGTACAGGCATATGTCTCTAGTGTGAGCTGATACACACTTTATTTACCTATTTGTACAGGCATATGTCTAAAGTGTGTATCAGCTCACACTAGAAAGAGGATCATCTGATTAAGTGAGAGAGGACTAAGAACTTCATATGCAGCTATGAAAAACAGTGCTGTCGACACAGACACAACCAAGAAATGAACACTCTCTGCTTGCAAACATTTCTGTGTAGAACATTTGGTCACACAGCATAGTATGTAGTATGTGTATTTTTTTTAATACTACTAGCACTGCCTCCGAACTCTTCTGAAGAGCTGTTTCCAGAAAGTACACTAAGGCTCTTAACTGCAAAAGGCTGCTGGGCAGGCTTCATCAAATTCTGCCATGCGCTGTATTACAGAATTTTAGGCTTCTGAAATTAAAAAAACGTTCTGAATCCTTTAGTTTTTTTCACAGTAGATCTTCATAATCCTCTGCTATACATATCTAGGTAAAGATAGAATGATACATTTGAAAATAAAATTTCATGTTCTTTTTCAAAAAAAAATGGGCATACAATAAAAAACATTAGAAGGTATCAATTTTAAGATTAAGTTATCCCACTTCCACTTAAATTTCCATTATACTACTGAAGAATTAAGATTAGCCAGTGCCTGTGTTGCAGAGGAGAGTTCAACAATGCAACTGCAGGGCTGCACTGTTTTCAGTTGGTTACTCCAGAGCAGACAGAAAAATCAAAACTATATGCTTGAATTGTTCACGCAAAATACATCATTAACATTTCTAGACAAATAAAAAGTACAATGAATAAAGCAGAAGATGAATATCCAATTTGAAAACAAGATTTTTTTAATGAAACTCAATCCTACACAGTTCTTCAGCATTCTGTTCTAAATCAAAATCTGACATCAATTTATGGTAATCTAAAAACAAATGTCAAAAAAGCAGTGATATATTATGATCTAACACAGAAAAGAGTGCCTTTAGAATTTCCACAATATCTTCCTGTATGAAAACAGTTAAAAATAAGATGGTTTAAATACAGGAAATACATTTGTTGACTTACAGTCATTCTCGGAAGAGAACTACCTTCCTTACCTGAAGCAAGGATCAACATTTAATATTTAAAGCTTTGTCCTCAATAACATTCATTATACCATCATATGCTGACATACTGTGTAGTTTATGCATCAGTTAAACAAAATGCTTTAATGTATTTTCAGTGACGATTAAGATCATATCTCAAGCATACTAAACCGTCACATTTATGTCGCTCACTCAAACTGAGCCTTTAATTGCTTATACAAATATTTTAAAATTCCGCAATCAAAAATCAGACATATCTTAAAATAGCACGTGCAGATTCTGGCATTGTTACCCAGACGCCTCATTCCTCTAGTCCAATCAGTGGGTGATTATTACTAAAAAGATTATCATTTCTTGTAAATGTATGTTTTTTTTATCCTTGTCATAAGTATAAATTTGCAACACAGTAGTAACACTGCAGGTGTAGAAATAACGCATCCTATCAGGTATGTGAAAAGATTAACACTACCACAGTTGCTGCTGGTGTATCTGTACAGAAGGCCCCTCAGGCATCAATTCAGTCCATGGGAGGTAGATGCTTGTCTATGAACTGTTTTATATCCATCATTTCCTGTTCAAAAATAAAGGCATACGTTAGTCAAAGCTCCCTCCTAAATTATATTCAGCTACACTGATGGTTCAACTTGTCAGCCGGAACAAGCATTTGTGCTACAAATATTGTTTAATTAGCTCCTTGATAGGCTATCACTTTGCAGGCAACAAGTCAAGGCAAATCATTTAAAGGAGGCTAAACACAGGAAAAGAAGAGCACAGACAACATTCCTCCCTGTCAGACTGGATTGGGAAAACAGGTTAAAATATACATACATATATTTTACAGTTAGATCAGTTCCTTCATCAGAACATTTGACAGGAACACATCTTTCTATGACAGTGGAAATTTACACAGGCTTAGAAAACACTCCAAGTTATGGCTCCAAAAAGTGCAAATTAGGAAAAATTTCTAAATCACGCAGTACTAAGGCAATGTTGCAAGAAGTAGAGCACATCTATTATTAATATAGCTGTGTGATAACTCAATTCTATTACTATCTTAATTCAGTAAAACTACATAGATGGTCCCAAAGCAGCAGAGTCTTATGCCAGCAGCTTTTCCCATTCTAACAAGTTCCAACAGTTCAAAGAAGTTCCTCATCAGCTCCAGGACTAGGGCAAGAAGGAAGAGAGGGCCACAAGATCACACACAGCAGACACAACAAGCCTATCTGCTTCTGGCAGCAGCCAGCCATCCTTATATCAGCACGACTGCTTACAGAATCAGACCAAAAACAAACAACAACAAAAAAAAAACAGTTTGAAGATGTCTCTTCCTTTAAGTAATCACCCCGTTCCATTCTTTTTGCATTTCTTTCAAATACATTGATAAAACTAGGCAGATTCCTCTCCCCAAAATGCCAAGTTGTATTTATGCTGTGAGAATGCAACCTGCGTTCCAATTCAGTGATAATTTGGGGTTGAAAAATATTCTGACAAAAAGAAGAAATAAAAGAAATATTCTAAGGAACAAAGAAACAACTTGCTAGTAGTTATCACTACTTACATAATTTTTTGTGCTGGAAGATTTTTTAGAGAAGGATTCAGTTATTCAATGATACAAGTCATTAACATCAAATACTTGTTATTAAAAAGCCATAACAAAACCCGCAAGTTCCACATATTCATTTTTTGGGAAAACAAAAAACAAAACAAAATCCCCATCACTTTAAAAGTCAATTGTAAAGTCAGAAAATTACCTCAATACATGAGCTATGCATCATGCCAGAGTAAGTCCTGAAGGTCACATTGGCTGGATTTATCATACTCTTCAGCTTCTCAGCAGTAAGAGAACCAAACATTAAAGGAACCAACGGGTCACAGTCCCCATGGCATTGAAGAACAGGAATCTCCCTGTTGACACCACTGATAGGGCCCTGTCAAAGCAGGAAGTAGAAAGAAAGAAAGAAGAAAGAGAGACTGCGAGGAGGAAAGGTATATAGGTACCTAAGGCTACCATATTGCAGATAAAATAATGCTATGGCAGGTGCTCACTGTGGTGTCATGAGGTCAACTGAATTATAAAAGAAAAAACAAAAATACATAGTGAATAGTTTGCAAGTTCCTTATGTAGCTAATTCCATACACATTGCAAACTGCAAATTACAAAAATTTGGTACTGATTTCAAACCAAATCCCAAAAAGCATGATTTCTGGACAAGTAAAGCACTTAACATTTTGTTTAACTCAGCTTATTTTCTAATAAGACAGTATATTGCAGATAGAACAAGTGGCAAAGTAAAAATAAATAAATTAATTAAAAGAAGGTCTTCATGGAACATTTACTTGGTCCTACAAGTTTCCTACGAATATCATTTTAAACAGACGTAGTTACTGAGTATTTCCTCTTTTTCCCCTGCTTGCCCAATTCTAAACCCTCAAGGTTCTATTTTTAAAACCTCTGAGTTACTCAACCACAGTCATTACTCAGTAACATTCACCAACTCCTGCACAAGAGAGGATCTTGAAGAAATAGCTCAGGAAAGAAGCATAAATACCTGAGGAAAAGAAGCCCGTAAAGGAAGCCAGCAGCTGAGCGCTACAACACCTGCTAATTTTTGTTGTGTCGTAAGTGCTGTGTACAACGACAAAGCACCTCCCTAAGAAACAAAGATAAAAGTTGTTATAATGCTGAAGATAATGTTCCATTTCAATGCCAATTTCAAAATCTGTTTTCTCCTTTAGATGACTTCTTGTGTTTCAACTAATTCTTCCTTGAAACTAACACTGTAAACAGTATTGCCATAAAATATTTATTTCACCTTTTTTTCCCTCCAAGTCAGTGTGATCAATTCATAAGTAAAACCCCTGTAACCAGAAGCTGAAAATTAAAGATGGAATAAAACATACTTTTTTGACAGTCACGTCACCTCTGTTTTCTTATTTTAATGCCTTAACACAAACTAGTGACCTGTTAATCTACCTGCAACAGTTCTTGTACAAGTTTGAAGGAAGAAATACTTCTCAAATAAATCCAGACCTCCTAATATCTTGCAAATAAAAATAAAAATAAAAAACCCACAATTTTCAAGCAAAGTTACAGAAATCACAGTGCTTGAATACTTTAAATATAATATTGATTTTAGCAGCCATTTTTCCAGATCGAGGTTTTCAGTGAATAGCAATTATTTTCATAGACTAAAAGACTCAGTTTGTTAACTGAAAGGGAGTCCGACATCATAAAATTTCAGAAGCACCTATATCACCTCATTTCAGTGGAAGGTTTAAGATTTCCTGCCCTAGGAAAGCTATAGGTTATTTCCCTAGAAATATATACAATTCTTTCCAAGCATAACGTACCTGAGAAAAGCCTCCCAGGATAATTCTATGAGAAGGAATTCCACTTTTTACTTCTTGATCTATCAGTGCTTTCACTGCAACATAAATGAAGGACAGTAATTAAAATCTGCTCTGTTCTGAAAAAAAAAGTAAAATAAAATTACCATAGGAGAGGAGAGAGACTGACCAACCCTGTTCCTTGGCCATCTCCTTGATGTTAAAGGAAAGGAGAATAAAAGTATCTGTATTAAGTGAATGCACACCTAGGACATCATCAAAAATGCCAGGGCCATAAGCATCAATTATACCACTTCCAAAGAGGAAAATGTGCAAATAAGTCCCACAAAATTCCCAGTGGGGAAAAAAAAAAAAAAAGAAGTATCCAGCACATTTGAGAATCAAGAGTGTTTACGCTGATGAACTATTTACTTTTTAACTTTGTAAGAACTTTGTACTTAGCTAACCTTGGATCAATGATAATACAATACATACACACTACTTTGCCTATTAATTTTGTCTTTGAAAATGGATGAACTGTTTCAGACTGATAATCCCTTTTGAAGAACACAAATGAAGTATTTTTAAAGGTACTAAAGCATTTCTGATCATACCATTCTCTGCTGCCTTCTTGATTCCAGCTTCATCTTCCTGTGAATCTGGAGAAAGTCCAGTGATATCAAACCTTATAAAATATGAACAAAAGCCTTACTTTTCAGAGCACCTTAAAACACAAACAACAAAACTGAGATATTTGCCAGATAAAAATGGTTGTTGTTTGACATATTACATAGCATCCATCACCCACAGTTTACAAAAAAAATAGGGGATAATGTGTGAACATGAATAAAACTCTAGACATAGTCAACTGAAAGACTTGCAGACTTTTGCTCTCTGTAATTCTGTAATTTACTGCCGGTTAAGCAGCTCAATTTTACTTGCTTCGAATTACTTGCATCAGTAGCCATTTTTAATTAAGAGTTGTATGCACAAAATTAAAATAATGTTTGAAGAAACACAGGAAATGCAGGCAAAAAAAAAACAAAACAAAACCACAAAAAAACCCACAAACATGAAGACTGATTTAATACCACTAAAATTTACAACATTTTTAATTAAGAACGGTAAGTTCAAACATTGAACAGCTTTCGGCTAGAATAATTTTCAGTTAAACAAGTACTTACCATGATGGCATAGCCATGTTCATGTTTAAGGAAACTGGCATAACTGGCCTGGAAATGAGAATGAATAACACTGACATACTCTATATATGATGTATACACTGGAATTTAACCGTGCAATTACATATCACAAATTTTACCTTACTTTTAAATAGTAGTTAACATTAGTTATTGCATAGCATCTCTTTAAGAAGTATCTCTTGAAACCTCTTACCCCAAACACATTATCATTCAGGGCCAGCTTACCACTCTTGATGGAAAGCAAACAAAATGGTAATGGACCAATTACTAATAATTTAAATAAATTATATAATATTACACAATTACATGTAATTCATGCTTATTTTATATAATATAGGAAATGTTTTAAATATTTTTACATGGATAAATATATATACACACATACATGTTTAACATACACATAGTCATTTACGTAACTATACAGTTAATCATTTATGACTAGTATGTTGATCATCTTACTACGTCCTATACATACTCGGGGATAACACCACCTTACACAGCAGTGACCTAAGGCGGCACCAAACTGCCACTACCCAACAGGAGTCCAGACACACACACCAGTGCTCCCCCAGCAGCACTGCCTGCTTAAGCCAAGCCTGACCCTGCTGCAGGGCTTGCTCCTACCCCAAGCTGCCACATGTCACCTCACAGACGTACCAAGGCAACCCTACTCATCGTGCCAGCATCAGACCTCATAGAGCTTTAATCTGCCGAAATAGAGGAAAGTAGGTTTTGGGGGAAAAGACAGGTTTCTGTCATAGAAAAAAAAATCACAGGCAAAGGAGATTGCTAAAATCTTTCTAAATGGCTCAGCAATTTGACATGTGGCAATATACAAATGAATATTTGAGTACCTCAAGGGAGGGAGTGAAGAGGATGGTGCTGGTCTCTTTTCAGTGGTGGTCACTGACAGAACTAGAGGTAATGGCCACAAACTGAAGCACCAAAAGTTCCACAGGAACTTAAGGAAAAACTTTTTAACAGTGAGGGTGACAGAGCACTGGAACAGGCTGCCCAGAGAGGTTGTGGAGTCTCCTTCTCTGGAGATCTTCAAAACTCGCTTGGATGCAGTCCTGTGCCACGTGCTCTAGGTGACCCTGCGTGTGCAGGGGGGTTGGACTAGATGATCTCTTGAAGTCCCTTCCAACCTTAAGCATTCTATGATTCTATGAATAACAAATGTGTAAATCACAGGCCAGTAATCAGCTGGTAATACACCAAAATATGGCTTGCTTATCTCCTTATCAACACAGAATGGTTAAGGTTGGAAGAGACCTGTAGAGATCATCTAGTCCAATCCTCCTGCTCAAGCAGGGACACCTAGAGCACGTGTGTAGGTGTCTTGCTCCACAACTTCCAAGATTGTTGGGGAAGAACATGACCTGAATCTCTTGTTAAAGTAATTAGCATTATACTTCTATTACATAAATTTTAACACTTTGTTTACTGACTCATGATCTGCTCACAAGTTATTTCACTTCTCAAATTGCACAAAAAACTCAAGTTGCAGTATTTGCTGAAAATATGAGTAAGAGGATCCTGTGAATCCTTGAAATACACTATAAGTAACAGGCAAATTGCATCTTAATCTTGGGAAAATCATGTAATAATATGAAGTATATGGTAAAATGGAGCCAGTGAAAATAGAAAGTCAGAACAAACCAACTTTGTACATAAAACTTCTCCAATTGTTGTTCAGCCTGAATTAGTAACAAATGCAAACTATGAGTAAAAATACAAAAGTAAACCACAAAGCAGTTCCTAAAAAGAAAGTCCCATAATATAAATATATAACATGTACAATACAATATATATGTCGCTTAATAAGGAAAAATAGCTACAATTTTGAACTTACGCATGTGGGCAGATGTATTTTACATGAGGACTTTTGATACCTGCAAGTGCTTCTGACCATCCATGCCTGTTAACAAAAAATATATTAAGTGGAATTTTTTTTTGACTTGGTTCTAATTTCCATTGTTGGTGTAACCGCACCTGTAGAGTACAAAATAGACCGAAACAGGTCAACACGAAAAACACTTCTAAAAAGTTGTAATAAGTTCAATACACTCTAAATACAGCACTATACTTAAAAGGCCCATGCTGCTCCTGATTATTTGCTGCACATATATAGCCAGACATACTTTATCTGATTTGAAGATCACAGCTGTGGCATGGCTGCGGAAATAGCACTTCAGCCCTGCACAAAGCCTGCTCTTTTTTGGTAGGGTTTATTAACTTGGGTGCTGCAACACCTGAATCCAGCTTGCAGGCTCTGTTCTGGCAAAAGACCCCTTGTAGAGTCCAGCCAGCCTCTTTCACAGCCAACTTTGCTTTGCAACACATTTCTGGATCTGGGAGAGCAGTGAGCTGTCACTTAAGTTAGGTTTAGGCTGGATCCATGAAGAACTACCAGACCTATTGGCTCTGGCTGAGCTCAAACGCTTGCAGGTTGAGGCAGCCATGAACCATACTCCTTGTTCCCAGGCAGTTTCTTATCACAAGCAGATGAATACACAGAACAATCCTAGAGCTGCACAGCAAAGGAGCAGTTAAGCCTCCTATGAGCCAAAAAAAAAAAAAAAAAAAACAGGAATCACGGTTAAATAACAGGCTCAGAAAGACCAACTCCAGAACTAATCTTGGCTTAAACTGAATTTTGAATCAAAATCCAAAATCTGAATCTGAATCCAAATCTGAATCAATGAAGAACTACAGTCTGCGTCTGCACTTTGCTTTCCACAAAATATGGGATGAAATATTCATTCTGAATATAAAATATCTGTAATAAATCCATCAAATGACATAGCTGATCTAATCAGACCAACAATGGACAAGCCATAATCCCATACATGCTTTAATCTTAGTATCATCATAAAAAGTTAAATAGGTTTCAATAGGATTTCACCCAGAAAGCATAGAAAGTTGAAACTGTAGCTGTATATCTCAACCTACTTTCTACCAATACTTACATATATGCTATTTATAAGTGACAATCTTAAGTGGTAATTACCAAATGGTAATCTTATTGCCCAATAAAAAAGGCCAAATAAGAAAAACATGTGACAAACTATGTAGGATTCTGCGACTGTTTCAATCAAGTGTAAAGACTAGTTTGCCAAATTTATGATGCAGCATTACACACAAACTTTTTTTAGAAAAATCATCTGTGTTGTACTTTTTGTCCACACTTGGACAAGTATGTATCAATCTTCAAGAGCTATTTATAGAGGAGTTAAAAGACAAAAGGCACCTAACCTCACAAAAGGTTATGCACACCTCATAGTAAAAACTAAAATTGGTAAAGTTACCAGTGTAAACAGTCATGTGAAATAGATTGGCTTCAACTGAAAAGGTATAAGATCTTTTATTTCTTTTCCCCAGACAATTCCTTTTTGGGTCACTACTACTGCTTTTTTTTTGGAAAAAAAAAAGGCGGGGGGGGGGAGGCGGTACGTTAAAGGCAGTTTTAGCAGAAGGCCAGAAGAACAAATGCAGCTCGTTACCATATTTCTGCAGAGATAACTTGTTAACACATATATTGCAGTATGCTCACTGCATTTGCAAGCCAGAGATTGCACTTTAACTTTGTGACTAAACAGAAATACAAGATTTGTATGAGGGGTGCAATAAAGAGTGAGCCTTTGTAGCTTTTTTTGCAGATAAGCAAAGCAGTTCAAAAGATTCTACAGTCATATGGTAAATATTTGATGTCAAGATGCAGGGGATAAGCACTGCTGCTTCAGATGCATCCCACCAGCAGGAAGCACGAGGAACAATTCAAACAAGGCGATAAGTCAACAGCCAACAGTCAGAACAAATGAGAGCAAACATCTCCACTTGTAGACCAGGGCCAAATGCATGGACTTAACTGTTTCTAACTTACTGTCAGAGTTTAAACCTCCATAACCCACTCAAATTAACTCTGAGCCTTCAGAAAAAGATCTTTTCCTAAACATCACAATTTCCAACCCAGAGGCAACATTAAAGTTCTGTGTAATGAAGCTCTAAAAAAATACTATGTAATTGTGACTGAATTGTACCATGAAGGACAAGGCACTCATGACAGCCCTTTTCAGTATCTAACTGTTGCTTCCTTTAAAGATTTCTATCAAAAAGTCATTTCAACACACCCTAATACCAAAGCAGTGGGACTGAACGTTTTCTCATGTTTTGCCACACAGAAGCTTCCAACAGGGACATCACAGCACACCTATAAAGCATGCGTGTTTGTACATGTGCAACTCCTTCCAGGATTTCCCTACTCTTCCGTTTGCATTCCAGCCTGGAAATAACAGGAAAACAGACTAGTTTTTCACAATCTGTTTGGCTATTTAAGAGCCTGAAGACTGTATCTCACCTAGCAAAATCAGCAGAAACCAGGTGACTAACTAGTTTGTTTAGATACTTTTTTTTTAAAAAAAAAAAAAAAAAAAAAACAGGCTTAGTGTCTAATGAAAAACATGCCATGCACCTACTGGCAATCTGGCAAGCCACAATTGCAGTAAAAAGAACTTTAAAATTCAGCAAGCACAGAAATAACCAAGAACCCGCTCCCAGGAAACCAAGATCTGAATTCAGCAAGTCTTTTGCCGCTGATCTCAAATTAAGATGAGAATAAAGGTCACATTCTGATCAGCTTATGAAAACGCTCAAAAAGAAGCAGAAAAAAAAAAACCTTTTCAAAGACTCAAAAGCTTCCTGCTGGCAAATTTGTCACCACTGTGATCCCTAAATTTATCGAGTTTTTTTCCGGTGACCTGCCACCACAGCCAAGGAGGCAGAGGGGCACACAAAAGCGAGGAGCAACTTTTAGCTGCTCACACCTATAAAACGTGTAGTATTTTGTCTGGAACTATACAAAGAGCTATGCATATACATTCATAAAGCAGTATACACACCCAGTATCTCCCAATCCGTGAAGAAAGATAACCTGAAGCGGGGAGAACAAGACACGTTAGCGACACGGGCTCACGCCCACGAGACCCGCCGAGTCGCGCACGATACCCCGCTCGCCCGCTCCCTCGGGGGACACACGCTGCGCGGGGCCTCTCCAGAGGCCGCGGAGC